GGGGGGGGGGGGGGGGGGGAGGATTTACGGCTTTGCAGTTGGCTGCTGGAGGAGTTTTGCTGGTGGGCAGGAGGAATCGTTAATTCCGGCTTTGCAGGGCCTGGCTGAGCTCGGTGCAGAGCGTTGGGCATCGCTGGCACTGTCACTGTGCCCGTCCCGGTGGGTTTGCAGGGGAAGGGTGGATTTAGACTGCAAACATTGAGGAGCTGAGGCATTGCAGGCAGGCTGAGAAGACAAGGGATTTCTGAGATGGTTTAAAAAGCTCCTTGTTGTCTGAGTATTTATTAGCATTTATTTAACTAATCTGCCTGGGAACCAACGGCCTCCAGGACGGCCAAGTCTTGTTGCAGCCCTCGGCGGGGAGTTGGAAGGGGGACGCCGAGGAAAGGATGCTGAGGGAGAGGGAGGGCTGCGGGGGCTTAAACCCTGGTGTGTGGGGGAGGCAGAGCCTCCCGCTGTTGTGGACTAGCTCAGACAAACAGCCTTGTTTGTTCACGTCTTCTGCTCCCTCCCAGCCCTCTGCTTCTGCCACTCAACTGACATTCAAGCCATTGAAAAGCAAGTGTCACGTGTGACTCCACAGTTTTGTCTCATCCTGTTCCCTATAAAAAGAGCTTGGTTCCTGGGTATGGAACAGGTGATGCTCTGCCTCTCCAGATCTGCCAGTGCTGGAAGTCTCCTGCCAGCATGTGTGGGGGAATGAAGTACCCGATGCCAGACTGGGGTGGAGATCCAGACCCAAGAACAAAGTATTTAGTGGCCGTAGTGACCATTATAGCATGGACCGGACCGTCCCAGGGTTGACCCTGATCTGTTACACATTCAGGATCCCTAAATCTTGTGGGATAAAGATGCTCCCTTCAAAGAACAGAGCTGCTTCAGGAACCCACCAGAGTCACTCTGCTTTTACCAAATGTTTTTGTTCAGTATGTTTCATGAACAGCTTTTTACTTCTACCACTTGGATTTTGTCACACCGGGCTCTAATACAAATTTTAGACATAAATCATCGCAGGGATGAAGCTGGGTGGCAGGAGCTCAGCTCTGTCACCCAAGAATGGGTAAGTGGTGGCTGGGAGCAGAAGCCAGCACAGGCCCTGCATGAGCAGGGCTGGTGCTTGCCCCCCTACCTGATGCTCTCTTTGGGCTGCATTTGTGGGGAATTGGCCCTCCTGCCTCTGCCACCAGCCTGGCCCTTCCTGCTCCGCACCCAGCAGCAAGGGCTTAACCCCGGTGCAACGGCCGGGACCCTGGGAGGGCTCCCTGGGGTGGGTGTGGGGGCACAGGGAGTGGCTTAACCCCCTTCCCAGCATATTTTCTCAGGTGGGAGAAGTGGATCCATCTCTGTGCCAAGACACCCACTTCCCAGCAAAACCGCTCCTGTTAAAGGCTGGGACACTCTCCAGGGCAGTGATGGTGGGATGGGGGTTTGGCAGCAGCCTGGGGCTGGGCTGCTGTGCCCCTGCTCCAAGGCAGGAGGGGTTTGGTGCTGCCCTATAAGCACCTAAAACAGAGTTATGTTGTGCATGAGGGCTGGCAGGTTCAAAGCCAGCGGGGACACCCCTGCCCTGGCTTTGAAGTAGAGACTATTTTCCCTTTTTGTTCAAACACCCCCTCCCTAGTCTAAGTCTAGTGAACATACAATACTTCTTGCAGCTAATGTTGGTCAGGAATTTATTTGAAATACATCTACATTAGAAAAACTAGATTTATTTTTTTGTTTGTTTCTTCAAACCACTTTAAAATATCAAAACTTATAAACTTTCCTTTGCTGCGTGGAGGTTGTTCATGTGCAGGGTGTAAAAGGCCCACGGCTCAGGGATATAGATCACACCAGGGTACTTCTTCCTGAGAATTTTGTCATTCCACAACCAAACCACCCAAACAGCAATGAGGACCAGCGTTATGATGAAGGAATAGAAGAGAAAAAGCCCATTGCTGTCCAGGACGAGTCCTTTGCGTTTCTGGTGCATCACTAAAGCCATCATGGCAAAGAAAGTGAAAATGTAGAGGATGAAAATCTGACCCTCTGTCACAAGATACCTACAAAGAAAAAAACACCTGTTAGTGCCCCCTTGGGAGAAAGCGCCAGCAGCACTTCCAGCTTCACCAAAGGTGAATGTCTCCCCCTTCTTCCTGCTCTATATCCAAAACAAAGCCATGCTGCTTTCTACTGCCAGATTTTAAGATGTGATTTGTTTTCACATTTCTTATCAGTAATTTAACAACTGAGCTATGGGCTTCATTAAGAGAAGGGTAAAGAAATGCATTCCCATTAAGGGATTTGAAAGGTGCTGGGCTCCGTTTGTGAAGGGGATGATTAAAGGCAGAACCAAAGCCAGACTCTGGCTCCCCCATGGATGTTGTGCTCCTTTAGTCCAAAAATCCGCTGCCCACCCAGCGGCCAGCCTGGAACAGGTGTTAGCAGGGACAAGGAGGAATTAACACTCCCTGGTTCTGAAATGGCTACCACATGAACTGCAGAGATTCACACGGATGTATTTAAAGGAAGTTCAATGAGGTAACTGGGAACTGACCAAATCATCTTGATGATTTTGACTATCAAAAATTAATATACTTTATAAAAACGATCTCAGCAGGGGGAAAAGCTATGGGCAAGGGAGAACATAATCTCTGAAGATGAATGAAAAGTTGTTTGGCTGCCATCAGGGAAACTGTTTGGGAAGATGAAGCTAATGAAAATGGGAAATAAATAAGACCTCTCTCAAAACGCCATTTGGACATGCAGGGTGAGTCGAGAGGCAGTGTCTGAGCATCACATGGGCGGCTGGGGCTCTGCATAATGCGCCTGGACAACTGGCAAGAGCCTCCCCTTGTCCCTGACGAGCAGAGCGGGTGGGCATGCTGCAGGTGCTGCATGACCACCCCAAAATCGTCCAGAACTGTCTAATGGTGCTGTGAATGGCAGTTTTGAGGGGGGATGGGTGGTGAGTACCAGGGAAGCTGGAGCTCCAGCAGTAACAACACGACTGACTGCGGTTGAAGAAACACCCCGAGCAGGGACAAGAGCAGTGGTCAGTGACCCTGAATTTGTCCCAACCTGCAAAGGCTAAAGCAGCTGCAAACTTCAAACAGGTTTCATCTGATTTTCCAGATCTGCGTATTAGAAGCTGCCCTGCAGAATGGAGAACCCCTGCTTGCAGGCTGCAGGGCTGCCTGTGGTGCTCCCTCTGCATCCCTCGCCCATCTAGGCCAGGCAGAAGCTACTTACCAGTAATAAAGGCTGCTGGGCCCCATCAGAAGCAAGGCAGCCACTGGCATCCTGCTCTCCTCTTCAACAGGGGTGAAGCAGCCAGTGAAATATATGAACAGTATCAGGAAAAAAGGAATATACCTGCAAACATAAACAACTCCAGTTGGTAATGTGACCCTGGAACGTGTTTAAACCCCACCAAATCCAAACCATGCAAGTAGGTAATCACTGTATCCTCTAGGTTGGAGAAGACCTTGAAGATCATCCAGTCCAACCATTAACCTCCACCAGATCCCTCAGCGCTGGGTCAACCCAACTCTTCAACCCCTCCAGGGATGGGGAACTCCCCCTCTGCCCTGGGCAGCCCATTCCAACACCCAACAACCCCTTCTGGAAAGAAATACTTCCTAAGAGCCAGTCTGACCCTGCCCTGGTGCAGCTTGAGGCCATTCCCTCCTGTCCTGTCACTTGTTCCCTGGTTCAAGAGACTCATCCCCCCTCTCTGCATCCTCATTTCAGGGAGCTGTAGAGGGTGATGAGGTCTCCCCTCAGCCTCCTCTTCTCCAGCCTAAACCCCCCCAGTTCCCTCAGCCACTCCTCATAAGACCTGTGCTGAGCCCATGAATTAATTTGGTGAGGCCACTCAGGCTGCTCCAGCTCCATGTGCTCGGGTGGGTGAAGCAGGGTTCTGCTCCGTGGGGTCCTGTGGTGCCAGTTGGGGCATCGTTTCTCTGCCGGTGTCACAGCTCTTGCTACGAGATGATTGCCACGTCCACAGGACAGGCGAAGGGCTGGTGGAGCCTGGTGCAGGGCTATTGTGTGTCCTGGCTGCACCGAGGGCTCCTGCAGATAATGAGACTCCAGGGGCTCTCGCAGGAAAAGCCCAAGTTTACTGATTAGGTCAGATGCTGGGCTCAAGTGCTCTGCTGAACAATTGCATTTGTTACACTCCCGGGCTCTGAGAGGCTGTGTAAGACTGGTGTGTGTGTGTTAAAAGCTGAACCGCAGGAAAGCAGGACATGGAGCAGGATTTCAAAAAACCTAACAGAGCCCTTTTTTATTTAAAAGAACAGGATTTGCTTGCTTCACAGCACTCAAGGAACGGCAAATAAACCGGAAAAGCCTGATGGGGGAGAGATTTCCCTCTGCTCTGAGCAATCTCAGGATTATCTGGCAGTGGATAAAGGACCAGCCTGTCCTTTCTGGGGTCTTTGGTTCAGGCAGAGCAGCAGGACAGGGGCCATGGGTGCTGCTGGGACATGCCACTGCCTGGAGGCACCAGCCAGGGCAGCCAGGCTGGATGAAACCTGCTGTCCAGCTGCAACAAGTGTTTCCAGGCTCGGCTTGGGGTGACAGCACTGAAATCAGACCCTAACTGAGCTCCTTGGATCACCGTGGCCAAATGGTCCCGGTTCCAGGGCAGCACCAGTCTTGCTACGTGAGAGACCCCTCCCTGGGTGACGGAGAAGAGCGAGCAAAGGGCTGGAGAGAGTGGGCAGTCGGGTGGTTTTGGGGTCAACCTGCAAAGGAGCAAAAATGTGAGTGGTGGTGACAGCCAAAGGGCCTGTGCTGTTACCTGCCTCTTCACCTGGGTGTCCTGTGGAAGGGGGGTGAGGAGCAAGAACAGAGGAGCATTCCTCAGGCCCCTACAGCTGTCAAACAGCTGCCACATCCCAGAAATATCCCTGAGACAGAGACAAAACTAGGGGGAATGGGCAATTTTCCAGGGGAGAGATCCACTGTAATCATGCTGGCTCCAAGAATGTTATTCCCAGCCAGCTCTCATCAGGCACATTTCATTTTTTTACATATTAAGCTACAATCAGATGAGATCTGCCTGCCCTTGTACCACGGTCTGAGGCCACCAGACAGACTGCAAATCGCTTACCACATCGAATGACCTAAATATTCATCGTAGTAGTAGAGCAGCTCAAAGGAATCAATCTGCAATGCAACGAAAAGAGATTTAAAAGGGCAGAGGGAACAGGGTACTATTAAATGTATTAAATAAGAACAAGCAATTAACTTTTTTTTTTTTTTAAGTGCTTGTATAAAACACAGACTCTACCAGCGTCTCTGGCTTCAGGTTCTTGATGATGGGGTTCTCTCGTACAGACAGATGGTGCTGGTAGCCACTGAAAATCAGGCGGTGGTTTACAGAGTCTCCGACCAGGTGGATGCTGGCTCCCATGACAAACATGATGATGCTGACATAGATCATTGATCTTGGCAAGGTCTTGGGGGATCGCTCGATGAGCTAAAACCGCAGAGAAGTGTTGAACAGGTACCCATAGAGACGCACAACAAGTTCTGCCCGTGCCGGCTGTACGGTGCTGTGCAAAAAATCATCAAAAAAACCCAAGCACGAGGCCTGCAGAAAGCTGCAGGTTGTGCTGCTGTGGCAGGTGTGAGCTGCTGCCCACAGTGGCCAGCACCCTGCCACGGGAAACAGAGTCACCCCCCCTGGGGAAAGCGGTGTGACCACACCAGAACGAGCTTCCCTGATTCCTGCTACCTTCCCTAAATGCACCTCAGGAGCGTTTTCACCAGCCTACGTGGCTTTCAGGTTTGAGTATGCACTTTATCCTGTTTGCAACAATAAACCCACATTTTTTGCCCTTGTTAAACCCTTCTGCAAAGCAACACCCCTTAACCTGAGTCAACGCTTAGATCCAATCAGTGATGGGGTGCTTCCAACAGAGTACTTGAAGCAGTTTCTTCACTAGATGCGATCAAACCCGATAAATGTAAAATAAAACAGCAGCTGCTTTCTGTGGCTGCTGTGCTGAGCGGATCTGCAAGGCTGGCTGTGCCCTCCAGTGGCAGGGAGAGCCTCCAGCAGCACTCCAGCTGAGAACCCGCACTTCACTCCCCTGGTAAGAAACACTTGCTCCTTTGTAATTCTCTGCTGGATGATTTTCAAAGGACTCTTGTTGAACTGTTTGTTATTGGGTTTTTTTTCTGTCTTCCTAACAGAATCAGACTCACCTCTCTGTTTATTTGCTTCTAAAGAGGAAGCTGCATTTAAACCTGTATCTAGAAATACCTAATTGCCAGCAAAACCGGTTGAAGCAAACTTTTGAACACAAGCTTTAGTGATGAGCTCTCCCTGTACCATCTCAGGGTCTGCTTAGGTCTGGGTAGAGGCACGTGAGGCTGGCGGGGAGCCCGGGGTTTCTCAAAACCTGGGGCAAGCCCAGCTGGGGCCAAGGAGCAGGAGCTTCTCTTTGGAAAGAAGCTCCTTGCTCCACTTGCAAAGCAGGGAAGACCTTGAAAGATGTAAATCCCAGATCAGGTGGTTCAGGCTTTGGAGGAGAGGCCAAGCTGGGCTCGGGAATGGTGGGTCAGAGGGGACATGTCAGCCCAGCCCGAGGATCAGCTGGGGCCACCGTTGCTTCCCATCTCCCTGCTGCCAAATCAGCTTTGCAGCCCTTCATAAACAGTGAAAAGCTCCTTATTTGTATTTAATTTCAAGGCTTAACTTTCCCTTTCTCTGTAACTGCTGTATGAATGTCAGAGGAGTCCGAAGGGGGAGGAGAGCAAAAGGTCCAGGAAAGCACTTGTCTGATGGAAAAGGACAGTGGGACACTGGGCACAAGGAATGCACCCTGAATAGCAAGTGGATTTTTTCTGTGGACCAACCCTTCATGCTGTGCACCCAGAGATGTCCAAGACAGCAAATTTTACCCCAACAGCAGAAATCAGCTGTGTCAGACTGATGGGTCAGACTGAGCTCCAGAGCTTTCCTATCCCCCAAGGGACTGGATCCTGAATATTCCTTTTTGGCCACACTGGTATTTAAAATCTCCCAGACAGACTCAGGAAAGAGAGAATCATTTACTTCTTAGGACATAATTCAATTTCTAGCTAATGAAGGTTAAAATATATTTATAATTGCTTTCTCCTGTCTTCTGGCTGCTAAGTATTTAATATAAGATTTCTTAATGATACGACAGTCTTTAACCTCATAAATGGTTTACACAATCCAGTAGCTGGCAGCTGAAGCAAGATAAATTCAAGCCAAAAAACAGTTCTAATGTCAAAGAGCAAGTGTATTTAAGATCTGAACAATTTAGAGTCTATTATAGTTCCAGCTGTCTCATAAGGTCTTTTAAGTCACGGATGGATGTTGTCTGAAAAATATGCTTTGGTTCAGCCAGGGAGAAGGGCTCTGACTCCTCCTGAATCTGGAGTTCCTGGGGAAGCAATTTGCTCTGGATATGCAGGGAATTGAGTTGTATTCAGATGGTTACTGCCTTGCTCTTTAGAAGGTGCCCTCACAGATTCCTTCTGGAGTGGCAAACCTCTAACATAAAGTAGGGCTGGCTCATTCGCAGGAGTTTGTGAATAACCAACTTTTGTTCAACCAACTCCTACCAAGGCTTTACAAAACTGTATTGTTTACCCTGTTTTTTACAACCGGTACTATTAAAAAAAAAGAGAACACCTGCACCTCAAGGTTTACCTTTAGCAGAAGAAATGGCGTGATAACATTGTAAGCCATGTGGAAATAATCTCCAGCGCTCGGTTTGTTTAGAGGAAACCACTCCAAAGGTAGAATTATCTGAGGAAGGGGGGGAGAAAAGCACATCAGTCTATGCTCACCACCCAGCTCGCGATTATGGCCCCATCACTGCCTGAAAGATGGGGAGAGAGAAAATCCTCGCTTTGGAGCGCTGCTGTCAGCTTGCCTTCACATAGCTGTTAGTGATGACGTTGGGTAGCTCTCCTTGCAGTAAGCACCCCTAAGAGCGCGATCTGGAGGTGGGTGCTAAACGCAGAGTGTAGTTACACGTCAGCCGCTTGCTCCTGCAGCGCTGCCCAAAGCCAAGGCCGTGAAGTTGTGTGGCCAAGCAAGCAAACAAGAGCCCTGCAGCAGCGGATCTCCATTAACCCTCTGCAATGTGCAGAGGCCAGTGATAAAAAAAATACATTTGAGGGTAACAGCCGCTTCTGCCCCGCGCTATGTGTAGAGCAGGAGTCCCAAGCTCTGGAGATACAGGCAAGGTATGGGGAGGAGAAGTAGGAAACTCTCCAGGAACTTTTGTTATGAAAACATAAAGTTGTGGAATAGATATATGGAACAAGCTTTTCAGATACCTTCCCCGTGCCTGGAGCAACACGCTTGGTACCAGTTACTCCAGTACATCGCAGTGGTCATTGTCTCAAGGACGGCTCCTCAAGGGCGTCCCTTTGGTGTAGAAAACAGCCCATGGGTCTACACAGCTCTGCCCCCCACCCTAAAGAAGCTGACTGCAAGCAAAGCAGCGGGCCTGCCTGTGCCACACTCACCATCGCAATGGGACGCCCGAAGTCCAGCACCCAGTTCTGCAGAGTGAAGTAGAACCACAGGTCAAAATGAAACGGGGAGGTCTTGAAGGTGTCCTCGTTCTTGACGGTTCCATGCCTAGAGGTGACAAAAGCGACAGCGTCAGCCTTAGGTCATGTAACAGGTTTCCGAGGAGGCAGGGCACAGACTCTGGGTCTGCATTCCCACTCAAAACCTCTGCTTCCCGGGCTGCTGGCAAGGCTCTGGGCTTTGGGATCTGTGGAATAACAACAGCGTTGAAAGGCCGAATTGAGGAGGAGGCAGTATAGAAAGGCGAAACATTGTTAACAATAAACACCACGTCCCTGTAAGGTTCTTCCTGGCCGAGAAGTGAGCATAAAAACAGGATGAAAATCTTAAGTGCTGAATTAAGTGCACCTATTTTTAACTTTTGCATGACAAAGCAAAATTCAACTCCCATGGCACTTCTGCCGAACGCTGAAAACGCCTGGATGCCTGGTGGTACTGAGCATGGGGATGCTCTGGATGCACGATCACCTTCATCTCCCACTCTGGAGATCCTCCTCCTACTCCTCTGCAGAACAAGGCCTGATCCAACCCCGCTCAAGTCTTTCCATCAAACAAACCTCCGGCACCACTGGACCTTCACCTCCCTAGGGGAGCAGCGGCCGGATCACTCTCCTGTGGTGCCAGGACCAGAACAGCCTCAGCTGGAACAGGCACGACTTGTGCTCCCTGAGCCCACGGTCCAAACCCGGTGGGTGGAGGATGAGGATGGTGATACCCTGGACAAACCGGGGTGCTCTGGGTGAGCCCGGAGAGCTTACAGCACCCTGGCAGAGGCTGCAAAGCCGGGACCAGCTGGGGTGACCCAGGTAAGCCGAGCCCTGGCCGAACAGGGGGGGACCCTCCGGGATACCCCGGCCAACCGCAGCATCCTGGACGGGGTGGTGGGGCTGGGGGATCCCGGGGGAGCTGGATGAGCCGGGTTGGGGACCCCCGGGGAAGGGGAGAGAGGATGTCCCGTTCCCGTGCTCCCCAGGATGATCCAGATGGGGATCTGCGACTCCTCCGGCTTGGAGATTTCAAATGTTATCTGCGAGGCAAGAGCATCAACTGACACTGCTGCTGCCAGGTGCAAGAGCGGGGCGGGTCGGAACGGAGGGGATGGGGGGGTGGCATGATGGTTGGGGTGCTGAGCATCCTGGGGAGGGTGCCAGAGCTGCTGGGGAGGATGCCCACCCTATGCACCAGCCATTTGGGTCGGGTTTTCCCTGTGGTGCCAGGACTGGAGCTGTCTGGCTCTGGCCACAACTGCACCGTGTTGCTCTGG